ACATGACGTGATAAGATAAATGACGCCATGGATGAATTTAAGGAGGTGTTTGATACTGGTACCCATTTAGATACGAATAATTGAAAACTATTGCAGCAAGATGTCGCGGTACGTTACGGAGAAGACAATCTTGCGGCAATGTGAAATAAATTGTATATAGATTACTAAGACATGGCATATATGAGCGTTTTTTGTCACTATTGCCTGCAGCATGGTACCTTTTATATCAATCCGAGAGTCGATATGAAGTGTTAAGGTCCATTCACAAATAAAATGAAATATCCGCTAGGCACGCCTGCGGGTGTTTTAGTGGAAAGTGGCAAACTTATCCTTCCAAATGTAGAGAATCAAATGTTTCTTTTTGCATTCCTCCAGTTCACAACTTTTGAGATTATTCAAGAACGACGATTTTTTGTTCCTGCTTTATGCTCAATGCTCTCCCTAGATATAACCCTGGTGGAAATGACATTTGTTCATTGTGACAGAGGCTTCGTCTGTTTTTTGTATCAAAAACATCGCATGCGCTCATTTGCGAAAAATAAACTAGTACCATTCTGCCGTAACATCCAACTATTGAATTTCATATTTACAACAAAATAAACAATGCTATCATATGCCAAATCAATATTATCTGATCATAAAACCCTACTAAGAAACCACTACATTCAAATATAGGTGGGCTGAAATCAAAAATATACTGCAAGCGCTAAGTTGCAAAGCGGCCCACAAGAAAACCCTGAATGTTTTTCCTCCTCAATTCCAAGTAGCAATGCATGGTAACTTGTAATAAAGATAAGTTCCAGCTGTTCGAGTTTCTCTTGCTTGTATAACGTTTCGCTTCTGACAGGCGCTCCATAATATTCTGTGCTTTTAGAAGAATCACAGCTATTTGGAAAGTATTAATTCTTTTAACAATTTAACGTTTTTTTTTTTGAAAAACAAAGCGATACTGGATTAGTCATTGTTAACTACAGTGAAGAAAGACCTTCTGTTGCTGCTTTCCGAGATCCTGATAGCTCACGCGAAGCAATATTTTGATTTACGAAGTGAGGATGAAACAAGTCGAGTAGACGACTTTTCGTCACCATT